GCACTTAAGCAAGATAAGTGGCAGCTGGCACTATAAGCCGAACGCCAGACACTTGCTAAAAATTTAAAGCCAAGTGGCAAGTAGCATTCTAGCCGAGCGCCAGGCACTTAAGCAAGACAAGTGGCAGCTGGCACTATAAGCCGAACGCCAGGCACTTGCTAAAAATTTAAAGCCAAGTGGCAAGTGGCATTCTAGCCGAGCGCCAGGCACTTAAGCAAGATAAGTGGCAGCTGGCACTATAAGCCGAACGCCAGACACTTGCTAAAAATTGAAAGCCAAGTGGCAAGTGGCATTCTAGCCGAGCGCCAGGCACTTAAGCAAGATAAGTGGCAGCTGGCACTATAAGCCGAACGCCAGACACTTGCTAAAAATTTAAAGCCAAGTGGCAAGTGGCATTCTAGCCGAGCGCCAGGCACTTAAGCAAGATAAGTGGCAGCTGGCACTATAAGCCGAACGCCAGACACTTGCTAAAAATTTAAAGCCAAGTGGCAAGTGGCATTCTAGCCGAGCGCCAGGCACTTGCCGTACAAACACACAGCAAAGCTAATATAAAAAGAAAAAGAGAGAAAAGATATATATGTACTGAAGATAAGTTGAACAGAGCACAACACATAGAGAAAAAGAGTTCGGCCATTTCATTAATATTGAACATTTAGTTTACAAAAGAGAGGTGTCCATCATTACAAGAAGATATGAACTGGAAGAATTCGAAGGAGCCCTAGCTAGACGCCTCAGTACCAACAGCATCCTGGTCCTGCCGACTCGCCTCCTCGGCCCCATCAGCCGCCTCACCTTCATGAGGTGGGGAATCCAGGTGAATAACTGAGTCGTTCGGCTGGGGTTCAGCGTCAGCAGTGGCTACAGAGGGAGCCACGGTTGACGATTGGGGAGCGGTCAGTGGCAGAGCGGTAGGAGGAGCTGTGATGATCCTTGAGGATGCGATGTCCTGGCACTCATCAAATATACGCTCCGCTTCGGTGGGTTCTGGGTCGACATAGACCCCCAGAGGCTCGATCCCCAGATCCTTGTCTACCTCATCCGGAGTGGAGCTGGTCTGTCCCTCATCCGGAACCCGGTCGGCGAAGCCTTCCCGGAATCCTTGAGCATACCGAAGAGCACCGACCCTGGAGAACCGAGCATGAAGGGCCAGCATCCCACCACCCACTCTGCTGATAGCGTCGATCAGAGCGGTACGCTCGTCCAGAGCTCTTTTTTCAAAAGCCATCCGAGCAGACTGTTCATCAGCTAGAAGACGTTGGAGTTCTGCCTTCTCTTCTCTGAGTGATTCCTGCTCAGTCTGCCAGACGCTCTTCTCGAGCTGGAGGGCGTCCTTCTCATCCTGAAGGGAATCATTCTCCTTTTTCAGGACATCTCTCTCTTGTTCGGCTTTGTCAAGCCGAACCAGCACCTCGGTATTCTTTATGGCAAGGAGGTCGTTCTCTTTATTAGCCACCTCCAGGCTGTCAGAATACTTTCGGGCCCTGGCGTTCCCCATTTCCACCTGCTTCTGCATGGCCATCATCCCGAACAATGTCTGCATAGGTGCACAATAAGAACGGTTAAACCAATAGTCAGAACGGGAGAAGGCAAGACCAAGTAATATAAGAGAATTCATGAGTTAGAAAATAAAAGTCACCTCCATAGCAGATTGGGGAAAGCGACTGAACACGTCCTTCTGGGAAAGGCCCTTTGCCGCCTCAATGTCCTTCGGAGTCCACATGCTCCTGTAGTAGGCCATAGCGGTCTGGCCATCCTTCAGCATGGTCTCGTTCGGTTTCACGAACGTCCCATCCGTTCGAGTGTACCGAGGAGCCCATGGCGGCAAGCTGGGGATAGAAGGGGGGCCTGAAGCAGAAGCAGAGCCACCAGCTGCAGGAGGCCCAGAGTGAGAAGGAGCTCTGATCGCTCGGTGCAAGAGAGTACCCGGCCCAGAGACTCGGGTCCTTCTAATAAGAGGCTCCTCCTCAGGGTCGATTTCACTGTCAGGATGAGGCCTTTTGCCTCGCACTTTGTCCCGACCGCCCCCCGCAGCAGCAGGAGCTATGGTAGCTGGGGAGGGCGCGTTCTGGTTGGCCGCAGGGGCGCTGGCAGCAGGGTTAGTAGCCACTGCGCTCGGGACAGTGTCAGATATGGTGGCTGAAGAAGAAGCCGACGCTGGAGAGGAGGTCGCCCCAGCAGCAGGAATGACTGGGGGAGTATTTTTCCTCCTGCCAAAAGAGGGAATCTGCAGTCTGCTCATATTGTAGCCGAGTGATGAGAGCGCAAAGAGGTTGTCTGAAGTGAGGAGATCTGAGCAGGAAGGAATATCGTTCAGAACGTATCTCTTCAAGTAGTTAATCCTATCCCTGCAAACACTGTAGCTCAAGTCATCACAAGGTATTCCCAAGGAGCGGCATAAGTAAGTGCAAAAACGAGGAACGCATGTTTCACAGGGGCAGTCGTGTTTATGGGATTTGAATTTTTTATAGGAGGAGACAGAGCAGACACCAAAGGCGCTCGGGATTGGGTAATCCTCTGCAGCCGGCGAAGACCAAGCCCCACTAATGCCCACTATGCTATCCCTCCAACCCTTTTCAGATTTTATTGTGTCAGTGCATATGGACATCTTCTCGAACGGGTAGAGGTGGTAGAAGGGCTCGTTAGTACGGATCTTACTGACCTTATAGCACAGAAGGAGGTCTATGAGGTCAAGGTCCAGATTTCTGTCACGCATCAATAAGAGCATAACAGATATGATCCTAAAGAAGTTGGGGTTGAACGGCAGAGGGGATATCCCCAATCTGTTGAAGACGTAACTAAAGAAAGGGTGCAGAGGGAACCTAACAACATTCAGTTGAAGGTTTGTGAATAAGACTTCGCCGGGCAGGAGGCCGGCGCCGGTCGTAATATTAACGTCTTGGGGGCAAACCCTAACTACGATGTTGTCAGGAAGTCTAAGTCTCATACGAAGAACACCCAGATCTACAACCATGGTGGAAGTGCAAGAAGAATCTAAAAGAGGGAAAATGGAAGCCTGCCGAAAGTAAAAAGAACGAAACTAACCTCGGAGGACTGCAAGATCGCTGGGAGAATGACTCTCGAAGGATTTCACCGGAAAAGGCTTAGCACAGTTCTAGAAAGAGGGAGATTTGGCTGATGATGGAGACGGTAAAGGGAAGTGAAGTGGAATTCTAGAGCATTATATAGGCAAGGGGGCCCGAGGGCCGAAGCGTCGGGAAGGCAAGAAATCCCTCGAACCCCGGAACATTGATTCTGGATCTGACCGTTCGCTCCCCCACGTGGTTATCTCGAGCCGTCAGCGTCATGATGAGACGCCATCAATAATTACCCCTTATTAAATAAGGGGCAATTATGGGGGCAGTTGAGGAGGCCCTGGATGACATGGGCCAGGTTCGACTCGCAAAACACAACCTTCAGTCCGAACAGCTGGGTCAGCCCATAGAAAGACACTGCCATATGGGCCGAGCGGGAGTAAGCCCATCAAGAGTGACCAGGGCTTACTGAGGAATAGGCCCAGGTCCAGCAACTAGTAAATATCTTGTAAATATCTTGTAAATATCTGGTAAGTATCTATAAATAGGAGTTGGAATGAAGAGGAGGAGGATCTTGATTCGGGTTGAGGTGTAAGAATTCTAGAGAGAGAAAGAATAGAAGGAGTTTCTTGCATCTTCAATATGAGATGGTGTTTTTTTGGTTAAAACATATGAGATAGTGTTGATAAGAAACGGGCAATTTTTTTTTTTTTTTTCTTCTTCATTTCACTCGTGCTCCTAATTACTTCTAAAATGTTCCGAGATCATTTTTTGTGATTTGTGCAACAGATGAGAAGCTGCAATTATGATCTTTTATGCTGGTGTTATTACGAGTTAGGGGTTAAGATTGAAAATTCACAGAGTTATGAAATGGGATGAGGAAAGGTTACTTGCTTTGTTTTCTTTATAGTGAAAAATTATAATTTTGTCCTTATATTTTATTTTACATTCAATAGTATTAGGTATATATTAAGCAAATCCTAGTTTATTTTATTTGAATCACTAAATATTCTTTTGTATTGATCTTATTTGAGAATTTCTAGTATTTTGATGTTCCAACAATAATTTTAGTTTTTTAAGTAGGGATGGGAAAATACCCCTACTCCATGAGCGATAGACTTCTATTATTTTGATGTTCCAACAATAATTTTAGTTTTTTAAGTAGGGATGAGAAAATACCCCAACTCCACGAGCGAGTAGTCTATCGGCAATTTTCTTACAAGTGGTCTCAGCTGCAAGATCTTCCTCCAACTCCATGAGCTCAAAAACAGTTGTTCTTAATTTGGTGAGACCTAAAACCTCAATTGATTTAGGCCTACAATGCACCATTTGACTCTGGCCACCGTCTTCTTTAGGTTTGGACCGGTCCACAAGAATCTCCACAATATGCTTGATCAATACAATTGAACGGAGACATGCACATATTTGATCCAAAACATAAGAACCTCTAAATAATAATAGTATGATCCATTTTAGTTCATAGTCCTAAGTTAGATATTTAATTAAGAATAGAGTTTGATTTTGATACCAATTAGATGTTTTGGGGTTCAACTAAAAACTAACACCACCCAATCAATCAATCAATCACACACACACATATATATATATATACATCCTTTCACTTGCCCATTTGAATTCGATATGGGACAAGAAGACAATATATATATATATATATATATATATATATATATATCCAGTCACTTGCCCATTCGAATTGGATATGGGACAACAAGACTCCCTTGTAACAAAAATCTTTCTTCTTTTTCCCCCTTGTGTTGAACAACCGCACCATATCAACGACTTAAATTTAAACCATTTCATGATGTAACAAATTAAAGCAAAGAAGCCAACTCATTAATCACAGATCTGCAATTAAAAAAAAAATGACAAGTAGCTCGCTCCTGTTTTATAGCTGAACCTGGATCATGTTTACGTACGTACGTACTATAGGATCTCCACACTAAAGTATTGGTGGTAGTAAATTTTCAACCATTCAAAAAAAGGAGACATACTTAAAAGAATAAGTCACACTTATGATTTAGTTATCACAAAACATTTGCACCGAATATGAAATACTAGTCTTTGGAAATTCTGCGTGTATATATATATATATATATATATATATATATATATATATAGAGAGAGAGAGAGAGAGAGAGAGAGAGAGAGAGAGAGAGAGGAGGCATCATCAAACTTGGCGTTGAAGCCTTGAATTCATTTGAACTTGTACGGGCTTTCCTTCAAACAGTGAATCAGATTACCAATGTCAATTTCGCCAGTAGCCGCTTTCGAGTAAATCAGCTGCACTAGACGATAATAATACAATGGAGCAAAATCCGGTAGCTGTAAGAGCAATTCTTTCCATACTTCAGCGTGTAGCTTTGTTGGATACATCTGTCCAAAAAAATTACCCATAATGTTTAATAAAAAAAAAAAGAGCATACCTCTTTCTCGTGTCCCTGAGAACCTGTGTTAAACTTAAAGCTCAACTGTCCAGCCGCATTCTCTGCATCTCCAATCCAAAAAATACTACGCAAACAACTTGAATTGTCAATTTTGCAGTCCCATTTTTTCATCACGGTTGGAGGCACGTTAAATTCTACTTCCTCAAACACAGGCCACATAACACGCATGTCCCAACACTTCCACATCAATTTGTAGCATCCATTGGCATCCCAAAAGAGGGGATCGTTTTTAACAAAAAACTAGAAATTTCTGATTCAAATCAACCAATACCAAAGGTGAGAAGAAAACAGTTTTAAGAAAAAAAGAAAAAGAAAAAGAAAAATGAGAGCACCAATTACACACTTCATTTTTTCATGCGAGTTACACTCTGGAAGTCTCTCGGTCATTGTCTCCCAAAAAAGGGAGAGACAGCTACCCCAACCTCTTTTATCTGCAATAGCCTCCAGCAAAGATTTCTTACGTTTGACTGCACCCACTGTAAAGCCTACTAAGCCTCTTAACTCTAGAAGGTCTTTTCGAACACCTTCTACAAATCCTACTTTGTCAAAAGATTCAACAAAGTGGCAATGTCAGCATGAAATTTAGACGAATCTCATAATTTTTGTATTTAAAAGTGCAAAAATAAAATAACGTACCTAGCTCGAATTCACCAGGCCAGAATAATTTGACCATATTGTTTTCCATCACCGTAACACCATGGAACAAATTTCCATGAAAGCTATCATTTTGAATGCAATCGTCCAGTCCTTCTATAATTCCCTTGAACACACTCAAAAAGTCTTTTTCCGGACGAATCATAATGCCACTGTCAATATGCCATAGAGCCAAATTGGGTTCATTATCCCAAACCCAACGAATAAAACTTGCTCCCAAGCGATCCAAGACTAGTGTTGTTACCCCCTCTTCGAATTTATGGTACTTGATCTTTGCAATATTCGGATTGTCGTAGCAACTTATTTTTTACATTACTTTTTCGGCTGTGAGCTTATCATGTTCTTTGTAGCTAGTAACTGATATCTTCACAGGTTTTCCGGTAAAATTGCCGATTCCATTTTCATAGCACTCATAACCTTCTGGTGTTTCTTCTGCCTCCCACCACACACTTCCACTGCCCTGCAAAAGACAATATAGAACATGGACAGTAAATTTTAGCACTTTCCAGCCAGCAACCAAGCATGGGAATTACCCTTGGCATTTTTGTATCAACTCAGTTCCTGCACCCAAAGGTAAAAACGTATAAATCTAACAGTACCCGAGGTTTAATTAGCTACTAAGAAGTTTCAATTTAAATTTGAAGGCACAAAAACAGTGAAGGGATAATACATTATCAGTATACAAAAGAAATCAGTCTCTATAAAACGCATATCAAAGAGAAGAAACTTCAAAGTAAACACATTCATAATTATATCCCATCACCCACATACACATACCCTACATCACACATCTATAAACTAGTCACTAATTACGAAATCTATTGTAAACTATATTGACCCAAAGAAAGAGTGACACACAAAAATTGAGTCAACCAACAAATATATAATTGGAATGTATGATAATAAAGACATTAATCAGAGTTCAAGCAGTAATGGGTTAAAATGAGTCAACCTACAAATATATAATGGGAATGTATGATAATAAAGACATTAATCAAAATTTCCCTATATCTTCCTTTAAAATAGTGTTGTAGTGCTCTGATTTAGTTTATTGGTTTGCTTCTTTTATGGGGATAGTGCAATTCATTGATATAATTACATCAATGATGATGGTAGTATTTGTGGGGTGTTCGACTCCTGTTTATTAGATTTATCTTGTTTTGTTGTCTTTATTTAAACAACAATGATCCTATTAGACAGGTCCAGGCCATGTGGTGAAACTCAAATTAGAAGAAGAAGAAGAAGTTGATGAGAACAGGTCCAGGCCACGTGCTCAAACCATGGAAAATGGGTGTGAGTTGCCCCATTTTATGTGGTACAAGGACAGGGCACACGTTCTTTACTTTTCCAGAGGAGTTAAAGTTTTGCAAGAAAATAGCTTATATTTCTGAGTAAATTGTTTATCAACTGTCTACATCATAGTTTTGGGGTGGTGGTGTTGGAAGTGCTTACTGGAAGAGCTCCATCACAATACCCTTCACCCACATGTCCTCGCGTGGAGGAGTAAGAACAGGCAGTGAATTTTGCCCAAATGGCTTCGATCCGCGGTGAGAGATGAGTGGACTTCAGAAGTGTTTGATCAAGAACTTCTAAGGTACGAGAATATTGAGGAGGAACTTGTGGCAATGCGACATTAATCAGAGTTCAAGCGGAATTGGGTCAGTGCACGCACCTAAACCAAATTATCTTGGTGAAGAAATTGGGTGGGTGAATCAATTTGAAGAAGAATCGACGATTCAAATAGACTTTCACTTCCTCTGACAATACTGTCTTAGCTTTGATTAACTGTCTCTCTTCAAATACAAAACTTCCACTTGAAAAATACCTTTACGCCTCACCCACATACACACACCAGTGAAATGTAAAACCCTCAAAAGAAACATCACTAGTCCAATATCAGAGATTAAGAATTATAGGGTCAATTTGTTCAATTGTATTTAATTGCAATAAACTCCCTGACTTCTAGCTACACAAATCAACATATCTCTATTCCCCTTACTTGGATCATGTTTCTGTCCATCAACACACATTATATCATATACTGTGAAAATCACGCCTAACAGAAATACTGATTATCAAACACTCCAACATCTGAAATAAGAATCTAGTTCAGAATCAATAAACCTGATTATTGTTACATGATACTACTGTATTTGCAAGAAATCATCATAGCGTGTGTGTGGTCAGTGAAATCAGTATAGTGTCGAACCATCAAAAGAAACATGCATCATCACCAAACACTTGAAAATCAACACACACTATATCATACACTATGAAAATCACAGAAGAAAAGAAAACGAAGGCGAATTACAAAAAGAGAAGCCGCCGATTGTATGTTGAAAGTCCTCCACAACCAAACCCTTGAAGATCGAAAATTCGAGGGGGAGCAGAGAGAGAGAGTTGTGGGTCAGTTTGGTGCAATGGAAAAGGGTGGAAAGGAAAGGTGATGGAGGGTGATTAAAAAATTGTGTTTGGCAAAAATAGTCGGAAGGAAAGGGAAGGTTTTGGAAGGTTATGAATGGGCTTGAACAGTAATTTCCTTATCCTCCTAAAAATGGGAGGAAATGGAAAGAAAGGGAAAGAGAGGCTTGATGTGTGATTTCTGATGCAAAATTTATCCTTGATTACAATTGATTTTAGTTTGCAAAACAAGAATTACAGACCTTGATTAGTTGATTTAGAAAGAAAAAAATTAAAACAAAACCCATACTTACAAGTTAGCAGTTACAGAGAGAGGGAGGAAAGCTTGAGAGTTGAGAGACAGCGGCTGAAGCTTGCGAAATCTGAAATGATATGCCGATATGGGTTTTGAACTTTTGATTCTTGCAGACAGATATACAAACTGAAATATATGGGTTTTGAACTTTTGATTCTTGTACAGTTGCAGAGAGAGAGATAGAGGAGGGGCAAGTTCAGAGTTGAGAACGACAGTAGAGATGGACGCGAGGTTGGGGAGGCTGAAATAATTCGCCCTAAAATTTTTATTTCTTTTTTGGTGGCCCATCATCCATGGGCCTTACATGTAAAAATAATAATAATAATAATAATAATTTAAAATATAAAAATGTATAATAGTAAATTTATTAAAATAATTATCTCTCCATTCTTTTACTTTCTTTTCCCACATAATTTTTGTTATTCCCTTTCTTTTCCTTTATTAATCAATCAAACACAATAAGAGATTAAAATTATTCTTCCCTTCCTTTCCCTTCACTTTCACTTTGCCTTTCTCTTTTCCTCATAACTAATGTTATCATTTCTCTTCAAACCCATCATACCAAATATAGCCGTAGAGAGAGAGAGAGAGAAATGATCCCAAGAACTTTGCTAGCAGTTGTTTTTGAATGTCCAATATGTATGTAGGTTTTGATTTCACCTTCTCTTGTGAAGAAACAGAGTACTCTGTTTCAAAACAGAGCTTATAGATCGAGTCTCCATTTTTTGCTACACAAAAAATGGAAAATGAAGAGGCCAAGAAGCAAAATAAAGGAAAAGCAACATTTCCTCCATCCTCCATAATAAGGTCAGATCAAAGCTAAGATATTTGCTGAGATGGTGAAGAAAGTGAGGATTGCAATAGCGATGGCCGGACTAGGAAGAGAGAAAAAAGGTGGTGGAGGAAGCTCGGTCTCAGCAACCCCTCCTTCAAACTCAGATGGAAATGCAGATCTTTAACCCCACATGAAAGCTCACGCTGTTATGTATCTTTGAATTCACTTGATTAAGCTTTCTAATGTTTTTGTGCCGAAGCTTACTTTTCCATGGTGTGCAACAGTTTAGTTGCATTTGTGCCACATCTCATTTGTGATATTGTGGTGGGATTATGTAATATTTTGAATTTGGGTACTAAGCTACTAGTTATTTTTTAATATACAATATCATTTGTTTAGTTTCTACAATTATTAGGGTTTTTTTTCTTCTTCTTCTTTGGAAGATCTTAACAAAGAGATCCGGTCTGTTTTTGGTATGTGCTTATGTTGTATTTGTCTAAAAAAAAGCTAGCTGAGTAGGTGTTGTCCAAAATATGGTCATGGTCAAAGTATATATATACTATAGTACTATTTATTTAAATATTATATATATAAATTATTATTTTATAATAATTATATATATATAAATAATTATATATATATAATTATTATAAAATAATAATCTATATATATAATTACTTATAATATACAGTTTAATATAATTAAAAAAAAACTATAAATAAAGGAACCTGATTAAAAGTCAAGGCTAGAATTTAATTCTATGTCCTTAAGACAGATTCGCTACCCTGTAGTATTAACGGACTCAGTGGCGTCTATCTCCTAGGATACAACGATTTGTCTTCCTTCGGTAATAGCACTGCAAACCAAAAGAATAGGCAAACCGGCTTGGTGTAGTACTCTCTGACTCGAAGTCGGACTCGAACCCACTGACTAAGGCTCGAATCCACAGACTAAAGCTCGAAACCACAGACAATTATAAAAAAAGAAAGAAGGAAAAAGATAATTCAGAAAGAGAAGAATGATTTTCTGAATTAATGTGATAGCAAATGACCCCAAAGGGGGTATTTATAGGAAGCAAAGTGCTTTTTCGAGTATGGGTGCAACTATGAGTCATGTTGGTTCAACACCAGTTGCAACTTTTTAGAAACAAATGCAACTTTTTGGAAAACATATGCAACCCTTTGAAAAAAAAAAAAAAAAAAAAAAAAAAAAACAAAACTAGCTTTTAATTTAAATGCAAAAACCAACCACCCATTTAAGTAAGCACAGCCCAAAAATAAAGGTCCAATCCAAAATTCCATTAGTAAAAAGAATAATCGGACTTTACAATTAGGCCAAAGCCTAAGCTCAAACCCAAATCCCAAATTTGGCTTATTTAAATTTCAATCAGTTTCAACATTTTTTCCATGTGGGACAAATATTTCCCACATTTTGCATACCCATTTAGGCTTATCAAAATAACACACTTTGGAGCTAATTTCTCATTTACCCGGAAACGAATTTGAGAAAGTAAATATACCACGCTCATCTCCTTGCGGAGATAAATGCGTTCATCTAGATCCACAAAAAATTCTTAGCGGAATTTATTCCAAATCTCATCCAAAGTTTATGTTTTTAATGCCCCAATTTCCAACAATCCCCCACATGAATGGAAATTTGCGTAAAATGCAAATGAAGAAGATACAAACTAGAGAGAGTATTATTAAAAAATTACTGCATCGGGATAGGTAGCTTTTGGCCTTGAACCTTCCGTGTATTATTATCGGATTTACTAGCTAACCAGTGAACATGATGTCTTGAACTATTTAGCCGTTGATGTAAACCAAGACAATAGCAAATACACAGTTCCTTCCTGCACAAAGTCGGTTCTCACGATTGTGTTCATATGGCCCTGAACAACTCTTGGTATTTTATGAGCGCTCTAGAAAACTTAGCCTTAGAAGTTCTTATAGAAGCGGCCCCACTTTACACTCATATAGGTGACTTCTTATTAAGAGTATCCTACTATACCCCACTTGAATTTTCAAGGTATAAGAGTCATTAAAAGCATAGTTTATCCTACTTATCATTGTAGGTAGCACTGTCTCATCATAGAAATGGGTAGAAGATTAAATCTTTCCAGTGCTTCTGGTGAGCTATTTAGAATTTTTGTTGTCCCTTTGAACCTAGATCTTAGGATCTTTAGTCAACTAGGTTGGTTTCCATTAAGATGACTCATTAGCTTTTGGTTTTAATCACATTCCCCTCGATGAACTATACACTTGCTCTCTTGTCAAACCTTTTGTAAACGGATCCGCTAAATTATCTTTTGACCTAATATAATCTATTGAGATTATCTCACTTGAGAACAATTGTCTAACGGTATTATGTCGTCGACATATATGTCGAGACTTACCGTTATACATATTACTTTGTGCCCTTCCAATTGCTGATTGACTATTACAATGTATATATATAACGGGCACAGGTTTAGGCCAATTTGGAATATCTTCTAAGAAATTACGAAGCCACTCAGCTTCTTCACCAGTTTTATCCAAAGCAATAAATTCAAATTCCATAGTGGATCTGGTAATACAAGTTTGTTTTGAAGATTTCCAATATATGGCACCTCCTCCAATAGTAAAGACATAGCTACTTGTGGATTTAGAATCCTTCATATCTGATATCCAATTAGCATCACTGTATCATTCAAGTACTGCTGGATATCTAGAATAATGCAATCCATAACTTATAGTGTATCTTAAATACCTTAGAACCCTGATTATTGCAGTCCAATGGTTCTTTCCTAGATTACTTGTATATCTACTCAATTTATTAACTGAGTATGCTATATCTGGTCATGTGTACAAATTGCTTTTGCTGGTTAATAGTACTTAGAAAATTTATGTTCAATCAATCCAATTCTCTTGCTGGTTAATACCTAGAAAATTTTCCATATCCAAATTTCCAAAACATATTTAATGTAATTTAGAGTATTTTAGGAAATCAAAATAAGATTATAACTTAGAAACCTAAGTCATATAGAGCAAAAGCGGCAGAATTAAGTTGTGAGAGTGATATTCGTTGAGAAGGATTGTGTGTCTTAGTTAGAAATCCTAAAATATGCAATGCATGAACCCTAATTGGTGTTGGGTGAATCAATATGTAAATTTACCTTTTTACCTTTGTATATGTAAATTATTAAAATACCCTTGGTTGTAGCATTAATTCTTTCTTCAATCTTGGTAGGGTAGCTAGCACTAACTTTTGAACAATTAAACTAAGTTTGAAATATTGTCTCAATTTTGTATTACGAAATTTTTCAGCACACGTCTTATTGACGTAACATGATGAGTGATTATTTTATAGATAAATAGTAAAGTGCAAAAAATGACCCTGTATTATTGACTTTTTGCAATTAATCCCTTTGAATTAAAGATTGTCCCCCTAAACTATTGATTTGTTGCAATTAAGGTCAAATTCATTACAAAAGACTATTTTACCTTTTCTTATTAAATTTGTTATTTGTTATTAAATTATTTTTAATTAAGTTTTTTCTTATTTAAATATTAATTATACATTTACCTTAATTTTATAATTAGTATCAATTGATTATAAAAATGGAAAAAATAAAATAAAATTGTCGTTATCATTTTCTAAAATGATTAACTTATTATAATAAAACTTATTATACTCACTTTAAAAAAATTTAGTATAAAAAAATATCTTCTTTTATCAAGCACTATTCATGAAAAATTAATAAATTACGTAAATAAAAAGTATCTTCTTTTTAATGCAATATATTCATGAAAATTAAGAAATTACTTAAATTGTTTCAAAATTTTCTATTTAAGATTTTTATTTAAATAATTAATTTAAAAATTAAAGGCAAACCTATGCAAATTTAATAGAGTACATTTTATCAAATTAGTATGAATTTTTTTTATAATTTATTTTAACAAAAAAAATATATCAAGTATAATTCAATCAGAAAGGGTATTATGGTCATTAATGAAAAATAGGTAAGACAATGAGGCATTTTGCAACTAAATGTGATAGTTTAGGGGGTTTTATGCACAAAACATAGTTTAAGGGGATTATTTGCAAATTTAGACATAGTTAAGGGGTTTTTTTTGCACCTTACCCATAGATAAATGATTAAATGTACTGTAAAGCTGCATTAACTAAAAATATATTTTTACAAAAAAATAATTCCATATTTTATTATATGCATGCAACCTTTATAACAAAATTGAAAATAACACACGCATATTTATGCATATATATTACAGCACTCCATATGCTCCTACTTGTTTAGTTAGCATTCATTTCCCGTGTATTGTTGCAGGGACATTGAAGAAGTTTGAATACTCGGATGATGAATAGTCGGATAAAAAAAAGTAAATGAAGAAGAGCTGGACCAAAAAGAGTCGAATGAGGAAGGGTTGGATAAAAAGAAGTCGAATGAAGAATTGCTAGATAAAAAAGAGTTGAATGGAG